AGCTTCTTAAGAGTAACTAGATCAGAGAAGGTTATTATACACACAGGTAAAACGCTACATACTTTCAGAACAAATGGTGTCCAACTCTAGCAGTTATTATTAGGAGATTCAGGAGATGTTTGAATTTGATATGTGAGCCTATGTACAGAATGAAGCATCTACATTTATATACAGACAACACAGGCTGAGTCACCACTGCCTGCTGTTGGCTTCTAGAAGGGAGGAGACACTTGGGCATGTCAGAGGTCATATGTAAGGAATTACTATATTCATAGGAAACTTGGAGGCAAATCAGCTTTGAGATAAACTTGGAGATACAATAATTCAGTATATAGCCTTAACTGCATTCTCAGTGTCAGTACTCTACCAAGAAAATAAGATGTAATATAAGGGTCTTCTCTTCTGCTGAAGCCATTCGCAGCTGCGTGGTTAAAATCTGTATACGCTGAAATAATGCACAAACATGGACAGCCACACTAAGAGCAAAAGAGAGAAGATCCAGGCCCAATGTCTGCTATTTACCCAAATCTCCAAACATTGTTTCTTACTACACATTTATAGTGTCTCATCTATGTGATAGGTAGTACATTGTTTGTTCATCAAAATTCCATTGAAGATAACAGGGAAGGATGTTTCCACATGAGCTATGCAGGGCTAACCATATTGCTACATTGTGTAGGACTAACTGCAAGCGCTTATCTAAGCAAACAGGGTACAGCGAGATTGTGAAGGGGGGGGGTTGAGGGAAGAAAGCAAGAAGTACGAGGAGTTCGTGACGCGAGGAAGACACGGAGCCTTCATCCTCATCCCCACGACCACCAGGAGGCAGAGAACGACCCCCCAGCAACAAGACGCGCAGACGCAGAGTGCCCCTCTCGAAGAGACAGATACCGGAAGGCGGAGGATATAAAAGGAAAGACTTTTGAGGAGTGGGTGCGCACCGTTGGCAGAGTTGAACTCCCCAGCCGCCCAGCGCTGGTTTGCTTGTTGCCACTTGCTGATTAAACAATTGAAATTTTAATTGGCTTTGACTCCCAAAATTGGGCAATTTTGGGAAACCAACCTTGTAACAAAATTGGTGCCGTGACTCGGATCACAGCTTTCTGGCGGAGCCCCATATGGGGGAGGTGTCCCACTGAATAGAGGCCCCCGTCTGAGGATTGCCTCTCCAGAGCCCCGACCAACGAATCCTAAAAATTCAGCAACAAGCAAAAGAACACCGGTAACCTCATAATCTTTGTGCACAAAGTCCCGGACGAAGACACAAGGTTGCGTGAGTATAGGCCGGTATTCTGTTCTCTTGGGGTTGGGTTTCCCAGATCATGGTGTTGTGAGACGTCCAGCAGGACGAAGTGAGTGCGGACCCCTCGGTAGTGCGGTCCCCATATCCCGCGAGGGACGGGGCCACGAAAAGGGGGAAAGAGATTGTGTGAGTGTGTGAAGGTGCTCCGGAAGATGGGACAGAAGAAGAGCAAGCCTTCTGATCCCGTGGGTGGTCTGAGACCCCAGGTGAGGTACCCCCAAATACCACCAGATAGTCCTTTAGGTTTAATGATAAACCATTGGGAAGATTACCCCTCTAGGCAGGGTAAGGACAAAGTAAAAATGATATATTATTTTATGGAAGTCTGGGGAGGCAAACAAATTAGAGGTGACCACCTCTATTGGCCTATTTTTTTTTTGGTCTTTTGAAGATTGGATTTGTCAAGCCTTAAACATCTATGTTAACCGAAAGGAACACTTTAGTTTGGAGGAGAGTGAGTATGCACTTGTATGGATAGTATCAGATACCCGAGTGAATTTATACCCTCTCAAAGAAAAAGGGGAAGGGGTCAGAAAAAAAAAAAAAAAAAAAAAAAAAAGACGACACACAATGAGGACGACGAAACTCCTATTTCTCCCCCTCTTTACATACCTCCACCCCCACCTCCGGTGCCTTTACCTTCCCCGACTGCGCCAGAATACCCAGAAGATTTAGACTCCCCACCAGATTCCCAGAAGAAGCAAAGAAGAGTTGGGAAAATATGGGAGGAAAGAGGCCTAATTAATTCCCAGGGGAAGGATCTGGTGCATCAGGAGTTAATATTACAAATTCTACAAGCTTTACGGGGGCCCACCGAAATAGCAGTAGCACACCTAAAAGGACACCAAAGGGGGCTAAACCCTTTAGTACGAGGGAATAACCTTGCTGATCAAGAGGAAAAAAGGGCAGCTTTATTGGCACTGCACCTAGATGACCCTATAGTAGCCAGAAAGCAATGTGTTAACTGTGGAAGTAGCGACCGCCCCTGTTACGCTTGCTGAAAAGACTTTGGGGTAGATGGCATAAAATGAGTATGTGAGAAACCAGGTCGTAAGTGGTGTTTCTTTCATGGGAAACCTCATGAGATCTGAAGCTTTACTATACAAGAGAAAGCAAAATTGAATCAAATGGGGATTGAACAAAAACCTGGTGGGAGGTAGGAACTCCCGGACAGCTGAGAAGTTCTCCCAAAACCTGTAGCTGCCAAAATAATGCAACAATTTCACCAGAAAACTCATTGGGGATCCCAGGCATTAGTAGATCAATTTGCAACCAAATATATGTGTATTGGAATATATGATATAGCCAAACGAGTGGTAGGGGAATGTCTTGTTTGCCAAAAAGTAAATAAACATTAAATAAGGAAACAAGTGCGTGGGGGAAGAGAATTGGCTCATAGGCCTTTTGCAAAAAATACAAATAGACTTCACCGAGTTACCAAAGGTAGGGAGATATAAATACTTATCAGTAATCATAGATCATCTAACCCATTTTGTGGAAGCCTTTCCCACAGCATGAGCCACAGCCCACACAGTTACAAGAGTATTACTTGAAGAGATTATACCTCAGTATGGAATAATAGATTCAGACAGGGGCCCACACTTTGTAACCAGAGTAGTCAACGAGACTCTGGCTGCCCTGGGTACACAGTGGCAATACCACACCCCACGGCACCCACAGAGCTCAGGAAAAGTTGAATGAATGAATGGAGAAATAAAAAAAAAAAAAAAAAAAAAAAAGTAGCTTACCAAGTTAATGTTGGAAACCAGAATGTCATGGGTAAAATGTCTCCCCTTAGCTTTGTTAAGCATCAGGACCCAGCCCCGAACTGATTGTCCCGATCCGGTATCAGGGAGGATTCTTAAATGACCCCAAGAGCGAGATTAAGACACAAACGAGGTCAGATGCCATACCACCTTGTGAACTTTACTGAATAAGCAACTGATAGTAGCGATAGGACAGGGAGAAAAAGGATGAGAAAGTCAGAATCCCTAAGCTAGAAAGCGGTAGAGATACAGCAAGACTAAGTACCACCACCACGACTCCAGCGATGTTCTGCTGGCTCGGTCTCGGCACCGGTGCTGGCATTCCAGGCTCCGCCGAAGTCTCCGCTCACTCCGAAGGCCCCCCCCAGCCCCGCTTTGACGCAGTCCCTTTTAGTCCCCACGAAAAGCCCGCCCATTTCCACGGAGCTCATTGTTGCCCCGTGGTCTTTCATGCGCACATGCCCAGGTGTTCACAGTGGTCTTGCGGGCAAGGGTGCACAACTTCCTCACCTCCTCCACACAGCTCGCGCGCTGGTGCATCCTGATGTTTTAGCTTTAGGCAGACATCGTGGTTTTGTCAGGGACTATTCGTCGCGGCAACAGGATGCTGAAGCCAGAAAGTGGTAGCGGTGCAGCAGAAATGTTGAGACAAACGAAGTCCCTTACACTGCCCCGTGGCTCAACATTTCTGTCTGTTCATTTTGCATCATCCCTTTATCACTCCAGAAAACAAGTATCACTCACTGACTTTTAAGCTAGGACACAGGCCATTCTCTATAATCAACATGCCTACCCAGCAGTTTATCTTCTGTTCCTACATGGAACACTGATTTAATCCAAGGATCATAAGTAGTAATACTTGAGCATTGTTAGACAAAAAGAGTGCTTAAGGACTTTTTACTTCTGCTACAAGGAAACCAGAAATCTTGTACATTTTAATGACCTAGATTATCCTCTGCTGGTGGAGAAAGTGGTAACTATAGTTCTTTCTAACATAGCAAAGTATCAAATAAAACTCTACAACTACATATTTCATTAGCAAAATACTCTGTAAAACAGTTTACAAAAGGAAGATCTCCAATTGCTCAGGCTGAAGAATGTGCAGGCATTTCAGCAAGTCACATATGAGTCAGTACTCTCTTTAGAAACTACCTGACTGTTAAGAACAATCCTGGAAAATTCCAAAAAGGTGAGTTGCAGTGTACAGGACTACATAAAACTCTAGGCATGCTTGCTTACCTCAAAACCAGATATACTTTGTTGGTAAGTAAATATTCCTAGTCTTTACATCTTGTAACTTATTAATCAGAGCACTAAAGGGAAAACTGTAGACTCCAAATGCGTTTTAGAATTCCCCGTGGTTCCTGAGGTAAGAGCTTAAAAATGTGTGTGCATGATCATAACAGAATCTTTGAAAGCAAGTTTTGTGTTTATACTACTGCTTGATAACTGCCTAAAAAATTTCCCTTGCTATGTAACTCAGTTGCCAACCATTCACTTTTAAGAAACACTTTTTATTCTGAGCATACTTTCTCATTAGAATGAGTAAGCATTTAAGAGAACTGATTTATTTTCAGGCACAAAAATAGAAATTTTTCACTGGTCCTGAATATCAAGACATCAGTTACCTAATGACATAATCAGATGGTCCTATGAATTTATCCTTTGCTGTGACAGTTCAGCACAGAGCTATAGATCTGCTAAAAGAAGGTATTCACATGACTGAATTAGTGCAATACACTTCTAACACTAAATATATAAAAGACATTAAGGTACTCTAGACATTTATTTTTCAGTGTACCATATCATACATTTAAAAAAAAAGAAATAAGGTCTAAATATTGTAAAAGATGTATATAGTGTTTGCTAGACAAATACTTGACTAAGAACAAGGCATATTCTAGCCCATACTTCATGGAGTTACAATTACATTCAGGCACATAAACAGGAATACTTTATTGTTTAATGATTTATACCTCTTTTGGTCTGTTTAACAGAAAACGAACCAACTGAAGCAGAACTTCATCATTAAAACCTTTCACACTACCATCTTCCACAACATCATACAATGGCTTACTGTCTGTACCCCAACAGATATTCTTCCGGGGGTTATTTTGAATAGTTTCTACAGTTAATGCTAAAGTATTCAGCTGGTAACAAAAGAAAGCAAAGTATCTTCCATCAGTCACTACTGCCTGTGATACAAAAGGACGGGTCACATCTGCTTCACTCCAGAATCCTACAAAAGAAACAACACTAGTTATACAGGACTCAAAATCCTGCTCAGCACACATATATGATCCCCAATCCTCAAATAAAGAAAAATACTGGGAATTGCAGCAGCCACTTTGGGGAAAAAGCCCTGTCTGCTTTAGCAACACAAGCACTTTTCATATAGACTAGCTAAAATACCACCACCTATTAAAGATATTTCCAAGGTTAGGGACACAGTGGCATATTTGCATTTTGTACACAGTTCCCTTTCACTGAATGATAAAAATCCCACACTAATCAGCCAAGCGACTTTGCAAAATTACTGAAGTTATTAATGCAACCAAGTCCTGCAAGTAATCTGAGGGGAAATGTCTCTTGAATATTCCAGGTTTCTCACAGGGCATGGACATTTGTTTCATGATAGAAGCATGTATATGTATGCATGAGCATAACTGGCTATCATAACCACCCAGACAATACCAATAACACTATGTCAGTATTAATGCTTCAAACAACCCCCACTCAGCATTAATAATATTTTCAAAATATTTTCTTTACATGTTTATGCATGTATGGTAGCACACACAGTAATACACTTCAAAGAATTATTCTCTGGTATTATGTGAAATGAACAACCCAGAAACTGTTACAGAACAAATAAAAAACTTCACATATTTTAATCGTGCTGTCTTTATAATTCATAATGTGCTTACAATCGTAACCAGCTTTGAAGTTGTCTTACTTGACTTCACTGTTTTATGTCCACAAAAAAAGCCAAGCTTTCTAATATACCATTACATAAAGTTGATGGAGAGTGAGCTATAAACATCAGTCAAAGAATTTTCTTCCATGTGCCGTTTCACAAGTCAAACTACAAACCAGCAGATTTCTTCCAGTAACAGTAAACAACAATTTTATTTACATGAATAAGAAAAACACTAATCTGGGTCAATTCACCCAGCTCTTCTGGGATTTTTAGACAAATATAGGCATAAATTCCTAATGTAAGGCTGCTGACATTTTTCTTTCAGTGGCTGTAGTTTCATAAAACTGACATTTCTGAAACAAGGCACTAAGCAAGACAGTTGTTTCAGAAATAAACAAACGCACACACACACTGCTTGATATCTATCCCCCCACCCCGTAACAAATGTGGTATAAGCAAGTGAATGGAGGATTGAGGTTTTTGCACAGGCTTAGTGTTACATGTGAAAAAATTCTTCTGTGTAATTAATTCTAAGTACCCAAAGACAAAGTCTTAATTAACTCCCTTGCATAAGGTCTGCCTCATTCATTAGTTCAATTAAATTTTCAAATACCTACTTAAAGATGGTCTTCAGAAGAAAAAGCATGAGAGAAACATAGTGGGGAGAAAAGATTAGAGAACTTTCCAGTAGGCATTCATCACCAGGAAGAATTTATCAAGTTGACTTTCTCACCCTGATACATTGCTTGTGCTGCTGTCCAGGCAAAGAGACTTGCAATACCATTAGCTCGATACACAACTTCAATCTGATCCTCAAGATGTGCTCTTATAAACCTCTCCCGTTTTAGTTTATCGGGAATAAGATGAAACTGGGTGTGTCCATAACAGCACGGATCTGCCACCTTTGATCCTGTGTTCCCCAAAATTGAAAAAATTGAAGTCAGTCAGAGAATGGTCTTTATTATGCATACAAACATGTCCTCACTATCAGACTCCAAACATCAGATTAGAATGTCTACTACTGATCTGTATACATGTTGAGATTCCTCCATTTCTGGGTGGGACTGGAGGGCTTACCAACTACAAAAGGCAAGAGTTCGCATACTAAAATGTCTTGGAGGAGATGTAACAAAATACAAAGCCAGTTTTCTGCTAATTTTCTATTCAACACAACTCCTTAAAGCAAATCTATAGAGAGACTGCACAGGAGCATGCTAGTCCTCGTTGTCTGATGTGAAATCTCAATAGAGAATTATATACTATATATATTCATATAGTATAGTTATATATAAAATACACATTTTTTTTTCCCTGTTGATGGAAAGAGAAAGGTTGGGGGATGTTTATTTTGGGGTTGGTGTTTTTTTTGTTGTTTTGGGGTTTTATGCAAAAGAAGTAGTTACAATTTCTTACCTATAAATACCTTGTTTTCATACTGCTTTTTGAACAGTGGCAGTTTGGATGGTTTGTGATCAATAACAGGAACATCTCCAAGATCTGATTCCAGTGGTACAACCTTGAAGGAAGTAGAAGAAAGAGAAGTCATGACATAAGTCACATTTCTGACATCAGGCCTCACACAATATGCCACTTTCTGGTCAGATAGCAGAGCTTCAAGTCTTGCTTACATACTTAACATATAACTTAAACGGAAATTAATTTTTTGCAACAGAACTTCCTGTCTTGTGATGAGTGCTAGTACATGCATCTTATATTGATATCTGAATTTTATGTAATATACAAAAACCATTGTGTGAAATGATGCTAACAAAACTGCCAATTGCTACTATCTTCAAACCAGAATCTGCTTCTAGAGAAGATAAGCAAAAACATTTCTAGCAGCAGTAAATAACGTAACTTGAACCAGCAGAGTGAGTTTACAAGTATTCAGTGTTTTGTACTATGTAACTTTTTAAATTGCCTAAACAGTTCTTCCAAAATGCCAAGGTTTGTAATGTCTGACAGTACTAACCTAAGCAAATTGTACAATTAAGTTAAGAAGAAATGTTCAGCATTTACAGGAATCGGAGCATTGTTTTGTTTGTGGTGGAAAATGGGCAGAGACCCTCACAAGCTACGCAATTACCATTGTATAAACCTACAAGAAAAAGATTAGAATAGTGAAGCAACTTCCTGAAAACTCAGCATTCAAGAAAACAACTATTAAGCAGTACTAATAGGTAACAGGGCTTGCATCCAGATTACACGTGCCGTCTCTTACTTCATTCTTCTCCCTTTCTCTCAACTTAATCTCCTCAGTTGAGGAGAGACTGCTCCACACCACATTTCTTATTTTTGCCTCCACTTACAAGCATGAGCTAAAAACTATTTAAATGTATCGACGTGCATTTCATCTAAAGTGTAAAGACAACCGAATTGAAGTTCAGACAAAACTGTCTCAGTATCTACAATGCAGTTACCACAAGGTAGTAAGCACATTAAGACCTGAAAAATGCACAAATGTGCTACATGCCTGATTAAATAGGTCCTCCGCATACTACCTATAGCATGGTTTCAATGGCTGTCAGAAACGTAGGTGAAAATGCATGCCATTAACTTGATGTTGAAAATATCCACACCTCTGGAAGTTGCTTTGGTATACGGATCTGGAGGTGTGGGTTATCGTCTATCTGAAATCGCACAGGATCAACTCTACCCTTTCGATGTCCATGAACAACAACTTCCTCACCGTGATGCCAGTAATAGTTAACTTCAGGTTTTAGATCTGAAACAGAAGAACAGAGAGAAATATAAAGCAACCCTCTGCATTTAAAACCTGCCAGATTCCTATTTTGCAGCAGGAGTAAAGCAGAATAATCAAAATTCACTAGCAACATGTAGGACAATCAAGACAAAATGAATTACTAGTGGTAGTCTGAACAACTCATCTACACCAGCGACACTACTGCCGGGTTCAAAGACCAGCCCCACCACCCAAGGGCTCCCAGTCCCTGGTCCCTGCCACCACCACCCCGCACCAAGGGAGGAGGCTGCCAGCAACGGGTTGCGACCAGACAGGAAAGCGGCGAGGGTGGAGACGAGCTGTGTAAGGAACGGGCCGGGCCTGTGATCGTTATCGCGGCAGAGGTACGGCCGCTTCTTATTCTGGTAGAAGCTCTCCTGAAGAAGAGCGTCGCAGGCCAGGGAGCGCAGCTCGCCCAAATCCAGGTACGGCGCCGCTCCCGCCGCGGGCTCCGGGGTTTTCGCAGCCGCTGCTGCCGGCTCCGCGGCTCTGGAGGCCTCGGGTGCCACTCCCGGCGGGGGCTTCGCGGCCTCCGGCGCCACCGCTCCCGGGGCTTTCGCGGCTGCCGACGCCGCTTTCGGGGGAAGGCCCGGCACGAAGACGGTCTTAGTGAAGCTCCGGTACCAGCGGTCGGCGTTGAGGGCGAAGGTCTGAGGGTAAACCATGTACTTGGGCCGCTGCAGCTGCCCGTAGAGCCGCAGCTTCTCCTCGATGGAGGCCGCCCCATGTACCCTCTGCTTGAAATACTCCAGGCGCCGCCGCTTCGCCACTTTGCTCTTCGCCGTGGCGGAAGCCACTATGGGGGGGTACAGCGAGTCGGGGGGCTGCGGTGGGACGGCGGACTCCACCTGCGAGAACCAGCACCGGCCGTACCACAGCAGCCGCCGTCCCCGGGGCACCGCCATTTCGCCGAGCTGGGCGACCACGGAAGGGAGGCGGCCTCGCCGGCGACTGGGAAAATCTCATTGGCCGCTGAGGACCACGTGAAGGAGCCAACCTTCCAATTGGCAAGCTCCTCCGGGGGAGCGCGCGCGCGCGCTGCCGGGACAGAAAGGGGCGAGGACTTGGAGCCGGGCGCTCCCGCGCAGAGCAGGTACGGCGGCACATGCGCCGCGGGTGCTCCCCCAAAATCCGCCTGCGGGAACGGGAACGGGAACTACAGCTCCCAGGATGCGCAGCGAGAGGCGGCCCGCAGGGGCCGGGAGTGGCAGGAGGTGGCTACCCGCCCCACTCGCTGGGAAGACCGACCACCCAATCTAAATGACAGTGTCAAATTCTCTCTGAAATAGAAAATTTGATTTAACCCTTTTCCATGCAAAACCCCTACTAAAGACAAAGGTTTTCATGCAAACCGGAAACTGTAGTAGAAATACGAGATAATTTATAGACAAATTCTGGAAATTTGAATAGGCATGACTCGGCCTGGGGCATGAGGAGCACAAGCCAGTCTGACTGCCTCTGCATCTGTCAAATGTAAATTCTGGACTGGTCTGCTCTGTTGTAGGAAAGTCTTGTTTTTATGGGATAGTGGGTACCCACAGCACTAAATGTAAACTGAAACAGCAGCTTCTGGGAAACTGCAAAACCTACAAATCTGGCTTTAATAAAGGAATTCAACTCTGCTAAGCTACAATCTGTTATGGCATTTGTTTATGATACTGGAAATAAGCTAAAATTGGCATGTTGACACTGCAAGAAGTGCTATAGTTACTGCTTTTTTATCTCAGATACTTTAAAAAGTCGATATTTGTGGTGGACAGATGAAGCTTACTATTTATTATTACTAAAAGTTTTCTCTTTTTTTTTTTTTTTTTTTTAACACCTTGATCATTTGCAGTATTATTGGGAGATCGTTTTTTTAAGGTATTTCCATGACATTTCTGTATTTTCTGAACTGTCTGAAACATTCAGGCTGACAGGTGATAGGAGAGGAAGTTATGAGTGGAACTGGGACAGGAGACACATTACATACATCCCAGATAATCTGCTTCCTTTAATTAACGTCAGCTCAGTTTTCTACTGAATTGATAGTCAGAGCTGCAATGGTATTTGGAGAAATTTTTGGAATACATGATGAAGATTGAAACCCAGTGTTGGGTTGAGATTTTCAAAGGATATAGAGTGTAAAACCATTGTCTTCTTTAAGAGGATGTAAAATAGAAATTAAAATATTGCTAAAGCATAGGTAAACAAAAGCTATTCTTTAGTCAAGATTCAGAAGGAATTTTATAAAAGACAGATTTAAACGTTTAGTTGCAACTCAGTTAAGTATCAAGTATTTAAACTTTGGATGCTTCATTTTGAACCCAGCCATGCTCTTCACCAGAAGGGTGAAGGGAAGAGGTCTTAGATCAGAGGGCAGACCATTTAGGGAGCAACCTCCCTCCTTTTCCTCATCCCACATCCTACAGTCTCCGAGTGCCTCTGAAAGCCTGTTTTTCCCTTGCTTGATAACTGACACTGGCCAGATGTGGCCAGGGTAAACCTACTGTAACTATTACCTTGTGATTACAGCCAGACATGTCGTAAACTTACACAAACTGTTACCAAAAAATCACCATTACTGTTAGGCATTTTGGTGCTGCATCTCCTACTTTAAAACTTATTTCTTTTGGTGGTTGAAATATTATTCTCATTTCATGCTTAAATGTATTCATGGTCAATTTATACCTGCTTGTCATTATGTCAACTTTGCCTTTTAGTTTAATCAGCTTTTTTCCCTCTCCAGATTTTGTCTTCTAAAATAATGATGGAGTCCTGTCATATCACCTCTCAGTCCTCATTGACAGAGACTAAAGAAGCTCTTCTCACACAGACAGGTCTCCATTTCCCTGATCGTCTTAAGATCCCTTTCTTGCATTTCCTCCAGTTGTACATTTGCCTCAGGGATAAGTGACCAGTCTGTACCCATTATTTCATACAGGGGACTGTATTAAATACATCTGGAGTACTGACATTTTACCACTATTAAAACCCTTTTTCATCGTGTTGTCAAATCAGAATTGCCTGTCTCGCAACAATACAGCACTATGAACAACTTTTGTATATGATATTTTAAACCCTCAAGGAGCTCAATACAGACACTGAATATGTGATAAAATAAGTGAATGTTTAAAGGACCATTTTTATTTTCTATACTTTATTCAAAGGCTTTAAATGTTTACTGCACCCTGATATTGCCTATAACATAAGAGGTGTCAGGAGCCACTGCTCTGCTTTAACCTACGCTTTAAATCCCTGAACTGTGTACTGATGTTCTGGTCAGAGGTCAATTTTATTTGCTTAGTGAGCATTGTAGTATCATTCATCTTGATGTAGAAGCTACAAGGGCTTGGATGAAAGGGTCCAATATACAGTCTGGTTAAAGGTACTGGCATGCTTTGCTGACAGCTCTGTCATTAATTTTTGGTAAAAATATATTATCCAACCATCGATCTCTTTGTTTGAAAAAGCAAACCAACAGTTCAAAAAGGATCTATTTTCCTTCTTTACAGAGGTAATCCGCAATATTCAAATTATCATAAATATATAAACCCAGAGCATCTTTGCATTCTTTAAATGGATGCTTTAAAAGAGCCTGGGTTAGAAAACTCATACCCCACCTAAAATGTTCAGTACAAATGTTAACATGAATGCCATGGCCTCAAGATAAATCTCTAAAATTGAAACTAGAAAAAAACCCCTGCATCTCAGTTCGAACATGAAGGTCATTGGAGAGGGTTAGTTTGAGTCCAAAAGTAGTTCAGAAGCTAGTGCAGTTTAACTTATTGAACCTACTTTATAGAGAGGGATACAATAGAAATGATTCTGTTTCTGAAACTCAGAAATGAATCAAAGTACGTTAAATGTACTCACTCAGAGATGAGATTGCACAGATATTGTCCTGAGTTTGAGTGAGTGGTGGGGTTTTTTTGGTAGTAAGGGAAGGGGCTACAGCAATGGCCCCCTGTGAGAAGCTTCTCAGAGCTCCCCTGGCTCCAAGTCAGCCCCACCTCTGCACCAAGGCCGAGCCAATCAGCTGCGCCTCTGCGATAACATATTTAAGAAGGGACCTGGTGATGAGGAGTTGGACTTGTGAGGAGGAGCTGCTGCAGCTGCGTGAACACCAAGCTCAGTGGAGGAACGGAGGAAGAAAGGAGGGGGGAGGTGTGCCGGAGCAGAGACCCCCCTGTATCCTGTGGTGAGACAGCAGGGCGGCCCCCCCCATCACCCATGAAGATCTACGGTGGAGCAGACTCTGATTTATGGCCTGTGAGGTGTTTTGCATGGATGGCCAACATGATTGTGCCTAAAGAAGGCCAGGGTCTTGTGGGAAGAAGCAGCCCCCACTGTTGTAGTTCGATGGTGAGAGGATTGCAGCATGTGGGTGTGTCCCACACCAGAGCAGCTTGGGAAGGGCTGCAGCCCCTAGGAGGGACTCCAGTTGGAGAAAGTTGGTGCCCCACACAGGAGCAGTGTAGGGAAATGCTGCAGCCCGTGGGAGGGGCTCACATTGAAGAAAGTTTGTAGAGGACTGTCTCCTGTGAAAGGGAGACCACTCTGGAGCAAGGGGAAGAAGTTCCAGAAGCTCCCTCCCCCCACTTAAGATGGAAGAAGCATCAGCACTGACTGCACCCCCCATTCCTTGACCCTGTGCAACTTTGGGGAAGAGGTAGAGATAGCGGGAGCAGAGCTGAGCCTGGGAAGAAGGGACGGGTGAGGGGAAAGCATCCTCAAGATGTGGCAATGCTTCTCACTGTCTTACTCTGTTAAGCGTTGTTGTTAGTGTCTGTATTAAATCTATGTTCTTTTTTGCTTCCCCTAATGAGTGTGCCTTTTGCCCATGGCCATAATGGGTGATTTTCCCTTCCCTGTCCTATATCAAATCCCAATGATGACTTATTTTCCCTTCTCATCGCTGGGAAGGAAGGGAGGAGTGAGCGGCTGTGTGGTGCTCAGTTGCCCTCTGAGCTCAAACCACAACAGACATTAATTATTGGGCAGGCTCAGTATCTCCTATATACAAGTGTAGAAACTGCTTAAGTGCACACACTTCTTCAGTAACTTTCACCAAAGTGCAGGCACAACCCAAATGGGATCACAGGGATCGCAGAATGGAAGCATATCTTATCCAAGGCCCAGCAGGAGGTTTGAGATCTAAGTCTGCTTCACCTAGCCATGGAGAGGTTGCTCTGTGTCCCATGGGAGTCAATGCAAGATTTCCAGTCACTGAGAAAGCCCTCGCAGATGCTAAGCCATCTCTTCAATACCTGTGCCTTGGTGCTGGCACCACGCACCTTCTCAGTAAACTGCATCTTATTTTAGAGGGCAGGGAAAGGAGATAACAGTGAGATTGAAGCCCTTCAAATTAGAAGACTTCAGCAGAGAGCCACAAGTTAGACATGGGTTTTGTTGTAGGCTGAGTAACAAAACATACTGTAGTTTGACTCTAGAGCAGTGATGGCAGACCCTCGGCACATCTGAGGACATGTTGAGGATTGATGGTGTCCCATTCCAGTTCTCTTAGAAAGTTAGTCCAAATGTACACCAGAAAACAGGTTAGAAGTCAGTTCTGGAAAGTTCATAGTGAAAAGAGTCTCTGGAGCTGTGAAAACAAAGTTACTAAAAAATACCAGGTATTCCTCTTGTAATAGTATCTCAAGACCCTGGAGGAAGACTTAAGCTCCATTCCTTCCAAACTGGAAGGAGTAGATCTCTTGAGATCTTTTCCTCCTTCTTACTGGCCTAGCTCTTTTTTAGAAGACATTTTTAAAGTTGAAGCGTTCATTATTTTTCAGAGCAAACATGATACTGGATATTGGAGAAAAAAGCAGTGTCATATTCATATTTACAGTGTCTCTGACTGACTCAATGGCTAAAGAGAGGGTGTCAGCTTCTTGCCATCTGCTTCAAATGACATTTCTATGTTTACAGATTTTTTGGTTTATATACAGTCTACAGCATTTGCCAGTTTAGGTAACATCAGTGGGACGGTATGTGCTGTATAAATTTCCACATACTCCAATAGA